CACAACAACCATTTTTTTCCAACTACCATTCTCAACTACCAATTTTCAATAACTATTTTTTTTTTTTAATATGACTGTTTGTATTTTATTTAGCTTATTTGCCTGATTAAAAAAAAATTAATTATCAAATTCAATGTAAAGATAAGAATGTAAATTATATAAAAATAAATGGGTAAACTTGTCATTTACATAACAAGCAAACCCTATCAAAAATCATTTCAGCCTCCCCCCATCGCCTCCATCTCTATTCTCGTTCTTGACTCTGAACTTGCCCTATCTCTCTCTGCAACTGCAAACTACAAAATCTACAAGAATCAAAAGCTCTTTCTGCTACTGCTAACTTGTATGTATGGGTTTTGTTTTAATTTTTTTTCTAAATCAACTAATCAAGGTCTGTAATCTTGTTTTACAAACTAAATCCTATTTGGTGAAATTTTTTAAATAAATACAAGTTCAGAGAGAGAGAGAGAGAGAGGGGGGGGGGCACGGTTCAAATATATATATATATATATATATATATATATATATATTTGAACCGTGCCCCCCCCCCCCCTCTCTCTCTCTCTCTCTCTGAACTTGCCCTATCTCTCTCTTTGCAACTGCAAACTACAAAATCTACAAGAATCAGTAGTTCAAACCCATATCGGCATATCATTTCAGATTGTTCAAAAAATCAAAACCCATATCTTTCAGTTTCCATCGCCTGCTGTTCCAGTTCGGGTTCGCCGTTCACAAGCTTCAGCCGCTATCTCTCAACTCTCAAGCTTGCCCCCTTCTCTCTCTCTGCAACTGCTAACTTATACGTATGGGTTATGTTTTAATTTTTTTTCTAAATCAACTAATCAAGGTCTGTAATTCTTGTTTTGCAAACTAAATCCTATTTTGTGAAAATTTTTATGATCTATTTTAAATATATATATATATATATGAACCCCCCCCCCCCCCCCCCTTCTCTCTCTCTGCCGTTCTCTTTCTGAAATAGCAGTAGCTATTTGTTGTGCCACATTTGGCACCAGATTTAGCAAAGTGGCAGCCCATATAGCACACTATTGGAGAGCCCATTTTAAGCCTACCTGCTATATTTTGAAAATAACAGCCAATATAGCACACCATTGGAGATGCCCTATGAGGTGAACATAATACAAGCAAACAAATGGGTTTGAGTCAAGAGTTTCTTTATGTGGTCCAAGACTTGTCCCTCAAAGTGTTACATGTCGTCCTCGCAAAAGAGTAGCAACGTAATTTTTTATTTTTATTTTTATTTTTTATCGAGTTGGCCTACACCCATATATACACACTCGATGCAAACCGGCATAATAATAACTTAAGTTGTTGAATAGTGTTGTCTACTCACTCATATATGTCCACCCCGGGGTGGCCTGGACAAGACCCCTCCAACAACGCGACGTCCATGAAGGCCTCTATCAAAAAAAAATATACAACAATCTAGTAATTAAGCTTAAGCAATTTCGGCATAATTAATATCAAAGAACCGAACCATGTCTAGTTGGGGTGAGCCGGTGAGATGGTGCATTAGGGCTATAATTGGCATGACAGCATAATTATGTGACTTTTTAAAAATTCTCAAATTTGTATTGATTTTCACCAAATAATCATAAGATTTATGTGGCATATTTCATAATACATTAATTAATCTAATATATTGGATATTTCAAAATTATTCCAAAATTTGTGAATTATATATTTTGAATAACCCTAAGAGAGTTGAAATGTTTTAAAAAATAATAATAAATAAAGAAAAACTAATATTCGTTTTCTAACACATCCTTTTTTCACTATCTTCTCAAACAGATTTATTGGAGTTACCTAGGTTCATCAATCATCATATCATGTGGACCATGTGGATTGAAAGAATTTATATCATATTAGAGATTAATTTGATTTTATGGGGTTTGACCATTTGACTTTATATAATTTAGTTGTAAAATTGAACTGCTAGAGTGGGGAATTTTTTGCAGGGAATTCCTTCGAATATTTTTTATGGACTATTGGAGTTTTGGATTTAAAAATGACAAAATTGGAAAAAAGTAATTCACAAAATTGAATTAAATTTTTTTTAATTTTACTAATTTCAATTTTAAAAATTCAATAACACATAATTGAACCTTACGATACCTTCAACTTCAAGAACTTCATCAATATATATAAGTCCAAAATTCCAATATACAGATATATAAAGATACATAAATGTACGTAGTGCGTATAATCATGTATCACGTTCGATTATCATGAGTAATCACTGTTTTTTTTTTTTTTTTTCGGTGTAAATCACTACATTGATCTTCTCACTGATAAATAAAAAAATAAAAATTTGGAACCTTTTTTTTGCTATTTGGACCATATGTTAATCCCAGTAGTAGTGTCTACACGGCCTTATCCCCAATGTAGTAGTGACCTATCCAAAAAAAAAAAAAGTAAAAAACAAATTCAATGTAGTAATGGTCTGTGTGCACTTTAATTTAGTAACTAGTGTGAATCATACATGGTTCGGTGTATTCATCGATACGCGACTCTTTTTTAAAGATTTTATATTAATCGGTTTAATTAATTTATACTGATTATATCTTAATTTGTTATACTGCGACTACAATCGATACTGCAAATTATCGTGTGGATATATATAGTCTTATAAATATTATCCAATAACTTAATTAGTAAAACATAGAACTCCCTCCATATAGTTTGTTTGGATAAAAAATAAAATAATTAAAAAGTTAAAATGCCTTTTATGTCTTTCTGTTTTCTTTTTCTTTTTCTTTTTTGGCCCACTCACTCACGGTCGTAGGATCCAGAATGAACCAGAAGAAAATATGTGGATTGTGAAGTTAGTGGAGGATCCATTTACTGGCCTATAATAATGATACAGACAAGGACAAGTGGCATCTTTCCACGTTTGTTCTTTCTATTTGTTGGTGGTCTCTTTTTGTTTTTCCTTTTCTTTGTTTTGAATGGCATCTTTCACCAATATTTTCTTAGAAATGGCTTTTGTTATTTGTTCACGTCTTCTCTTCCCATTCTCAAACTTTAAATCTCATACAAATAATTTTAAATTTTCAACCTAAACTCTGATAATTAAGAAAGAAAAAAAATGCTTCATATAAAAAATTGCATAGAAAAATATTTATCAATGTAAAACATTTTATAACAATAAAATGGAGTGCAAATGAAAAACTAATAATAATAAAATTTCTTAAATGGCCCAATCTATAATCGATATTAAATCACTCACAGTGGTATGCAAAGCTATATGATCCAGAATGAACCAGAAGAAAAAATTTGTGGATTGTGAAGTTAGTGGAGGATCCACTTACTCGCCTATAATAATGATACAAACAAGGAGAGGTGACATGTTTCCACGTTTGGTCCTTCTATTTGTTGGTGGTCCAGTGAAACTTCAGTCTGACCCTATAAAATATTCTAATTAATTAAATAAATAATCTTTGTAAGCATGCAAGCTTTAATTATAATAAGTTCTACCATTGATAAATATATATATATATTGGATACAAAGGTAGTGAAAATATAGTAATAGTGGATTTTGATTTTTCACTCCAACAAAGTATTTTCACGCTTCATTTCATTTAATTATTTCTAATAAGTTTATTTTTTCCTTATACAACTTTTGAGTTTTATTTCTTTTTTTTTATTTCTTTTTTTTTTTTTTACATTTTTTGAAAAGTAAGTAAGCAAATTGTAAGAGTACTTTTGTAATATGTGAATATTATATTTTGCGTTATTAATTCTTTTTTTTTTTTTTTTTTGATGTAAAAGCTAGAGAGAGTATTTAAGAAATGTTTTTCTTAGTTGTTGTCTATATAAGTGTTTTATGAACTTTTTTTAATTAACAATGAAAGAAGTTTGCAAGATTTGAAAATGACTGGTTGTGATTTCTTTCTCAAGTCATCTAATTTCCAAATATGCATTAAAACTCATCTGTCGGAACAGTTAATTAGCATGTCTACACATAGACATGCTTTTTGTTTTTGTTTTTTTTATTTTTCTTTGTTTTGAAAGGTATTTTTCACCAATATTTTCTTAGAAATGGTTTTTCTTATTTGTTCACTTCTTCTCTACCAATTCTCGAATTCTAAATCTCATATAAATAATTTTAAATTTTCAACCTAAACTCTGATAATTAAGAATGAAAAAAATATATATCTTTCATATAAAAAATTGCATTGAAAAATATTTATCAATTTAAAACATTTTACAACAATAAAATGGAGTGCAAATGAAAAACTAATAATAATAAAACTTCTTAAATGGCCCAATCTATAATCGAGTTGTCACCAATGTTTTGTTTTTTTTTTTTTTTTTTGGATGCAAGTTTGTCCAGGCCTGTGAATAAAGCCCAAATCATTTTAAAAAGTAACATTGAGTTCCAACTACTTACGAGATGTGTTCAGGCTCCCAAGCCCAGTTCATGTGTAACTACTTACTAGACGGCGACCCATTTAATTGCAACTGCATCCATCTCATTCTCATGTAGTATACAGTTCATAGAATCGGGTATATATATATATATAACTTTTAATTCTATATAATGACTTCTTTTATATATGATACATTGATATACATTTGACAGAATCTGGTATATATATATATATATATATATATATATATATATATATATCATTTTTAATTCTATATAATGACTTCTTTTATATAAAAAAAAAAAATTTGTGATGCATGTATATTGGTTGTTGGGCCAATTTTCGAAGGGCTTTCTGAACCATTTGTGATCCTTGATTAGGGGACTCAATTGGGCTCTATCAAGAAAATGTTTCAGTGACGGGAAGAACAAAAAAATTTAAAACTTGGACCAGATCAAGCCCTTGGTTATGTATTGGTCTCTGTTAATTTCCAACACTCAGATCACAGCAATGGAACTCTTTCATACCACAAGATAGTCGAACAAGGTCTATGCTTATTGCACTACCGAGCCCAAGTCAGCGTTTCACTACAAAATATTGTTAATGTTGTTTTTTTTTTTTTTTTTTTTTTTTTTTTTTTTTTTTTTTTTTTTTTTTTATATGCTTTGGAAAATAGTAATAATAATAATAATACAGAGTAGAAGATATTAAATCAACATGGCAGTCAATGTACAAAACTTGACAGTTCCCCTTTGTTACAGTTAAAACCAATGACAAAAATTGCAGACTAATATTCTGCATCTGCAAAGCAGTACTACTTATTCAAGTGATCAGGAGACTTCTGGATTAGATGCATCAATGATCAACCTCAATCAAACTACATCCAGCCGTCTTCTTCAACCCCATGTTACGCATTTCATCTCGAATCTTATTAGCATCATCCCATTTACTAGAACTAGCGTAAGTGTTTGATAATAAGGCATAAGTTCCGGTGCTCACACCTTTGGTCCTAGGAAGACACCGGGTGATCCGCTCTAACATCTCCTCATTCCCATGACTTTTGCAAGCATTAAGCAATGCTCCCCAAACCGGGCCATCTGCTTCCACCGGCATTTCTTTTATGAAATCCTCTGCTTTCTCCAACAGCCCTGCTCGACCGTACATATCAACCATGCAAGCATAATGCTGCATTTGGGGTACAATCCCATACACATTGGTCATGGCTTTAAAGAATATCAACCCTTGATCAATCATCCCTGCATGGCTGCAAGCAGATAACACCCCGATAAAGGTTACATCATCAGGAGGTACCCCGTGAACTAGCATGAGCGAGAAGAGTGGCAAAGCATGTTCACCAAGGCTGTTCAAGGCCATGCCACTAATGATGGTACTCCATGACACTATATCCTTGCAAGTAAGCATGTTGAACACCTGAGAGGCCATATCCATGTCACCACACTTGGAGTGCATGTTGATCAATGCATTTCCCAGATTTCCATTCACAGTAAGATCGTGTCGCGAAATCAAATAGTTGTGAACCCATCGACCCAAACTCAAGGCACCAAGTGAAGAACACGCCGTCAGCACACTAACTATGGTGGCCTCATTAGGCTCAACTTCTCCTCTTTCCACCATATCTTGAAAAACCCTAATCGCCTCTTCACAAAACCCTCTTTTATTTAGACCCCCCACCATTATAGTCCAAGTAAAAACATCTCTCTTAGGCATATTCACAAACAGATATCGTGCAGCTTCCAATGACCCACATTTCATATACAAACCCAGTATTGCATTGTCCAAAATGACATTCTCTTTATTGAATTGTTGCTTTAAAACATACCCATGAACAGCTTTACCAAATTTAATGACTTTTACGCCAGAACATGCAGACACAAGACTTACAAGTGTGGAAGAATTAGGTTTTACGTCCATAGACGAAAACTTAGCAATGGCTCTCTCTTCAAAACCACACTTAGAAAGCCCTGAAATTATCGAAGTCCATGAAACAACATCAGGATGAGCTATGGCGTCGAATATTCGACAAGCCGAAACAATGTCATTTTCTACAACATAGAAATGGATTAAGGAGCTTTGGATGAAAATGTCGGAAGAATGACCGGATTTGAAGATGTGAGCATGGATTTCAAGACCCTTTGAGATTGCATGGACCAAAGAACATGCCTTGAGGGCAATGGTGAATGTGAAGTGGTTGTGTGAAGTTGGGTGGTGGAGCATTTGGTTGTAGAGGATGAGAGCATTGTGTGGGGTGGATGAGTGCGTGAAGCAGCCAAGCAATGAGTTTAAAAAGTGGGGTTTGGGAGACTTGACAATGTAGGCTTGGATTTGGTTTAGTTGCTTGGGGTTGAGGGTGCATATTTGAGACACCTTATATTTGAGGCATGCTATGTTGAGTATTGTGTTGAAATGTCTCATTTAGGTCAATGGTGCTTCTTCCATCAAATTGTGATGCTTTTGCTATATACATACATACATATATATATATATATATATATAGAGGATAGTGGACCCCACCGTTATTGGTGTCTAATTCTGAATCGGTTGTACTGCCCGATCACTCAAACCATTTAATACAATTTATCAAGAGCATGTCGGTGCTTCAGCGTTTTTTTCCATCCATCTCTCATCTATCCTTTAAATTCTTGACTTCCAATGATTTCTACTGTTCTTACTTCTTATCATATCATGATAGGTAAGTTATTGGAGACAATTGTTCTTCTTTGTCAACTACTTTGTCGGTGCTTGAATTTTACTCATTAATGATTATGATAGTGTGTCTGGTACAATATTAGTAAAATTTCTGACTTACAAACAAGCCTAAGTTTTCCCTATTCGAATTTGCATAGAATTTTTAGTCTTTCTTGCCCAACACCCTTAGGTGACCTAGATAATGCCCTTGCTTTTACGTCAGAAATATTTTGTGATTTGAGGTAGCATAGGGTGTATTATTATTATATTACCTTTAATTACTTAAATCCACACTGCGTGTAATTGTGCATATGCATGAATGATAAAAACTCTTTGATTAAGTTCTACACTTGTATAGGAGAGAAATTGAACTCGTGTGGTTTATTTTTTATTTTAATTTTTCCTTTCTCTCGTGGAAAAGAAAAACAAAGTCCGTTTGAAAATAGAAAATTATGTTATATGATGTGACATTAAATACTCATAAAATGTGGCATAGAAGACCACTAGCCGCCCTCGCATGGTAATCGTTGACCATCCAAAGTATCAGTACTAATTTACTACAGTACTATACTGATATTAATACTAGTAATTTATAGATAAATGGGTTATATATACCACACCGACACAATTTTATGTGTGCGCAACTCTTTTTCTTGGTTATATAAATACACTAGCAGTCCTCCCTTGTAAAATTCAAACTTCCTATTTGGCCAAAAAAAAATATACTCACACTTATTTATATGAACACTAATATTTTTTATTTATTTTTACTTTTAAAATACTGAGAAAACATCACTAAACTAATTACGAACTTACATGTATACAAAAAGGAGGAGCCAGCATGTATCTAGAGGGGCAGCTAACCACTGCCCCACTAGAATTTTTTTTTTTTCTATACTTAAATTTGTAGAATTTGATAAAATGTCTCCTCTAAAACTAAATTTTATTTTATTTTATGTGTATAATTTGATAATATTTATAAAATATTCTGATAAAATTATCTATTTCTAAAAACGTCTTTAATTCTTTATTCATTTTCCTTTTTATTTTTCAAATTTATTTTTGTTATCTTCAAAAACTTTTACATTCTTTTTCTATCATTAAAATCTATTTTTTCCTTCAAAATTCTCTCATATTTTTTTCTTTTTATTTATTTTCTTCTTATTTAATTTTTATTCATTTATTCTAATGCACTTATCACTATTATATTTTTTGTCTGTATAAAAAAACAAAATTTATTTTGTCAGTGTTAAAATGCCTTCCCTAAATCAAATTCTTGACTCCGTCCATATATAAAATATAATTTTAATTTTCGAACAAATAAAGTTAAAATGATTCTGACTACACCAATTATTGCTATTTTCTATGTGATAACTTGACCTAGTGAAATAAAATATGATAATATAGTAAATCAGACAGAACTTAAACCTGCTCGGTCAGTGCATTTAATCATTTGATTAAATATCAAAAACAAGTGTTAGAAACTGATTGAATAATAAATTTCTGAATTGGTAGTGGTGATGATCTCCTTTTCCTTTAGTTGGTGAAACTCCATTACCATTATTAATATAAAAAATAAATAAATAAATCTGCTAATTTCTTAATTCATAATGATTGTATTCATATACACTTTTATTGTACACGAGAAAACCATGTGTACGATTTCCAGAATTTAATTCATTTATGTCAACGTGGCATTTTCCTAACTACTTTCCTTTAATTTGAGGCTTAAATTAAAGAGCTAATTGGGTGAGAAAGATGACAAAAGATTGAGTGTTTGAATTAATTTAATAGATAAGCAATGGCATTTGTTACTAGCACAAAGGTCTACCAGTAATCAAACTTTTTTTGAAGGGTAATATTGTTCACCACAATAACTAGACAGATTGATAAATATTAAAAAAGTAATCAATAGATATAAGAAAATTCATCTTTATTATAACTGGTAAACGCTTATTCATTTATTTAAAAGATTAAATTATTAGGTAGTGTTATATACTCATTCATTTATACTGAATTATTTTTTCATCCGAATCTGATGTGAGACAAATAAACCTTATAATATTCTTTCCCACCCGAATTCGCAATGCCCTCGTTGCGGTCTGATCACCCTACCTATTCGAGTGAGTCATTTAGACGCATTGTGGGTCGGGTATTTGGCATGACATCAAATCAAGCATTAGATTTGACTCTGATACCAACTGTAACGGGTGGACACTTTTTCATTTATCAAAAAATTTAAATTATTGAGCTCTACCGCATATCTACCTATTTATACATAATCACTTTTCTATCCGGATCAAATTAGGAACAGTAACCCTTGCAATACCCATCTATCGAAACAGAGACTATGACTACCAAGCCCACAACGTTCGGCCGAAGCTGACAGAAGGCCTGGTGAGCCCATAAGCCTTGTGTCAACTTCAATTGTCCAACCCTCAACGAGTATAAACAAATGTGTGTATGAATCTTAAATGATGACATTAATCGGATTTTTTTAATCAATTTTAGCCCAAATTGCTCTATCATACACGTTTCCCTACTTGGCAAACTTACAAATTAATAAGTAATTAATTACCCAATGTTGTGGACTCCTGAACAGTTGTTTCAAGAGACAGAACTCCCCCATACAAATTGAATTTGCAAATTCTTTATCTCCCTTTAATTATAAGTTCTAATTCTTACAAAATTGTGACAAATTATTCACTAAGTTAATTTAGCAATTTTATAATAAATTATGGTCCAAATCATACAATCAACGTATTCATAGCAAGAAAATTAAACTAATGACATATAAAATATCGACTCAAAAAAGTATAAAAATTATTATTATTATTATTATTTGCACAACACTTTACCCCCTAATTTTCAATGGATTAAAATCTCATTTTTATGATTGTCTCTTGTAATTATTTGTTTGAGAGACGTGATTTCCAGAGTTGAGGAGATTTCAATTTTTGTTTGGGTAATTACCTTTTATTGTTATAAATTACATCAATAAAATTTTTTAAATTAAAATAGTAACAATGGTTTTGTATTAAAAGAAAATGATATAAGTGAATTTTTATAATGACAGTTAGATTAGATCTAATGATTAGTATAAAAAGCGCGGATGAATTTTCTTGTTCCACGTGGAGCAAGAAATCACTACTATATATATATATATATATATATATATATATATATATATTAACCTAAAAAAATAAGAAAAAAGGTTCACATGTGAATGGTTCAATTGAAACACATGGTACACGAAATAAATAATGTTAAGATTAAGTTAGTTGTCTTAATTATTCCTGTTAATCTTAATGATGCTGGTAGGTAAAATTTGGAGCCTTCAATTGTTTTAAAAATCAGGCGTTAATTATACATATAATTGAACTGATTAGAAAGGGTTAGGTATAGTGGATTCCGTAAGTAACTTTGGCTTTACTCTTTTAATTTGATACCACCTAAAAAGTACTACCATATTTTAATTCTATTAAAGTAGGCATGACAGTAACAAGTAAAGTTTATTTTCAACGTGATGTGTCCCAAAGGAATTAATAAAGTATTGTTTTGTAAAATTGAAAACGAAATATGAAATTTTTAATAAGAGATGAACTTAAAGTGCTTACTTTGAAGTGCTTGTTACTATTGTGAAATTTATCATTAAATTAAAATTTTACCCTATTGCAAGTATCACTTATATTTAATTGAAATTTATATTATATTATTGAATGTCTTTAATTGAATAATTACTAAATTGAGTTATTACTTATTAATTAACACTTTTAGAGTGTAGTTTTTTGCGGTAAGCAAAAAAAAAAAAAAAAGGAAGGTGCATACTGTTTGGTTCGATAAATGACTCACTACTCACCTGAATTTGGCTTATTAATTAAAGCAATTACTAGTTTATACAACAAATAAACAATAATAATAAACCTCTCAAACAAAAACAAAAATATTTGTAACCTAAAACAAATGAGTTATTATCCAATTTTTGTAAAGTAAATCTGAAATTTAAAAATAAAAAATCATTTGACAGCATGTATCTTTGTGTGTTGTTTTATGTGACATATATTATATTATTATGTATTGTTGTAATATTTATCTTTAGTTTACTGTTCAGTTCTTCGAATAGACTTGGAATCGAAAATGGAACGATTCCTTATTTTAAAATTAAAACTAAAATAAAATGGTAAAAGAATCCAATCAAAATAACGAAGGATTCAATATGATTCTTATTGATTTTACAGTTGTAAAAGTTTGTTGTGCACCATTGTAAAAAAAGATATTTCTATAAAATTCTACGGAGGCTGACGGCTAGACACAAGTGGTATTGGATTGCTTTTTTTACCAGTAGTTTAGTAGTACAAAAGTTTTGCATTCTTGTAATAAATTATTTGATAGTGGTTTTAATTATGATAACAATGTACTTTTTTATTTAATTTATTGATCAAGATAAGAATAAAGTCTATAATCAAATTACTTTGTTTCATATGTAATGTCATGGATTACGACAATATTGGTCATTGTTTTATTCTTTCAGTGACATGCATGAATTCAATTCAATGTTATTCTTTTTAAGCTTTATTTTTATGTATATGGTTATGAACTGTTTTTTTTTTTTTTTTTTTTTTTTTTTTTCATATTACTAAAGAGTCTTATCAAAGAAAAATAAAAACTAAACTTACCGAAGTTAAGTTTTTTTTTTTTTTTTTTTTTTTTTTTCTCTCTCTCTCTCAGAGTACATGTATCGGTCCCATAACACATGGATTATTCAAGTCAAGAACGCGATTCAAAAGTAGTAACTAATTTAACACACCCGTATTAAAAAATTAATATTATTTTCCAAGAAGATAGAAGTTGATTATTATTAGACGCTTGAATGTGTTACTGTTTTAGGTCAAGTGGGTACTTGGAAGTTTATAAATCGATGTCAGAAATTCCACAAGCGACTATAATCCCTTTGAATGTGAAGTTTCCATTGCACTGCATAATTTTAGCACTGGTCAAATTCTTTTTCTAATGCCAAAAAATAAAATTCTTTTTTTTTAAATACGATTTTTTTTTTCTGTCTCTTCAACTGGTTACATTGATCCCAGAAAGAAAAACAAATATCTAAGCATTATACTAAAATACGCTTTTACCGAGTAATTTTAGAGGTATTTTTTCTTGCAAGAAGAGGCAATGGAATAGGAATCCAACCAGCATGCAAGGCATTTACAGTGTGTATGAAAAAAAAAAAAAATACATCCGAAATTAGGAGAATAAATTACACAAAATTCGGACAAATCTCATTCGAATCAAAGATGTTAAACTTTAAACGACAAAGTGATAAAAACAGTCCTACGATTTAAATTTTGAGTAAATATCACCTTTTTTTTTAATATATAAATAAATTAAATTAAAATTTTTAAATCACTATTTAATTACAAATTATATTTTTAAAATATAAAATTTAGAAATACCATTTCCACTTTCAATAATGTCAAGAAAAGAAGAAGAAAAAAAGTATTTTGAAAGGTAAAAAAAGATATTAATAGGCCACACCGCCTTGAAAATGTCTTATTTCGCACGCAAACCAACCCTTAATTTAAACACCCAAAAATGGAATGGAATATGAAAACACCAAAAATGGTGTCGCCACTCGAGGACACCTGCCGCATTGGACCGTCAGATCAAAACCCTAAATTTAAAAATCGATGGGATCATTAGATTCATTGCACGGGGAGTGGTCCCCTATTCCCTATCTTAATACACAAACACACACAACTCACAGCACACGCACCCCTTCATTGGAAAATCTAAGCATAGTAAGACCTATCCTCGCCTGACACGTGTCAACATAACAACTAAGAAAAATTACTCCACCTCTCCCGGACAAGGCCGTCTTTTTTGGGACAGAGGCAGTATAAAAAGAGGCAATGTGCACAAAAAAAATTAAAATTCTCAATTATGTTTGAATTTATAAATAATAATTGAATTATTATATTTTTTTTTGCATAATACCTCTTAAACTATCTCACTTTGTTACAAAATACTCAAATGTCTGTATTATATTTCATTAAATGACCATAATGTTGTTTCTTACTAAATTACACTTAAATCTAATTTTCTTATTGAAATAAATTATGAAAAAAATTCATACTAATTTGATGATATATACTTCATTAAATTTGCATAAATTTACTTTAATTTTTTAATTCAATTGTTTAAATTAAAATCTTTAGTAGAATTTTTTTAAAAAAAATTTAATTATTTTTTTAATTTTTCATGAATATATTACATGAAAAATAAGGTATTTTTTATTTTAAAAAATTATTAATTTTTCGTCATTATATTATATGAAAAAGAATATATTTTTCTACATTAAAAAAAGCAAACTGGTTATAATAGGTTCTATTAAAAATAATAAAATTTTAATAATAAATTAATCATTTTCGAAAATGATAGTTACAAATTTATTTATCTTATTGTCATTTTTATGATAAATTGATACTTATAATAAAATTAAGGTAAATAATATAATTAATATTTAGATAAATGAAAAAAATAAAAAATAATAATTTAATAAGAAACGAAAATTTTAATGAGAAATGGCAAAATAGTCTTTTGCAATGAGTTAATCCTTAATTACAACAAATCAATAATTTAGAAAATTTGTTTGCAAAAGAGTAACAGTTTGAGGGATTTTTTTTATTTTTTATTTTTTACACTTTACCTTAAAAAAAATTAGATTCTTTTTCATTGGGACGAATGCTACCCATCTGTTTGTCACCTTTTATTTTTATTTTAGGAGGTAAAAAAATGTTACTAGGCCACACCACCTTTAAAAATATCTAATTAAGCAACATAAAATCAAAACCGATTAGAAGTGATGTAATATTGATTAAATTTAACTCACTGTGTTTAATTGGTTTTAATTTTTAACTTTCACATCTAACAATAAAATAGAAGTACTCCATTATATTACTTAGAAAGGAAAAAAAAAAAAATTAAAAAAAAAACATTACACATGCATGGCAATTCACTTTGTTTTATGTGCTATACTGCTATGTTGCTTGCATAAATTTTGAATCCGAAAATTAACCTTTGAAAATTGACATTATTAATTTTTTAAAATTGATTAGTTCAATCTTCTGTTCATGTTTTAGACGGCTCGAGCTATTTTTATATTAGCTACTTCTAACGCAGTCTAATTACAAATTCTCTATTTAGTCAATGCAGATAGAGTTGTTTTAGCATTAGGCTTTTAAAAATTAGAATTGTTTTTACTTTAAAAGTTCACATCAAGTTAAGTATGATGGCGTAAAAAATTACTCTTTGACATTTAGAGATATTGGCGTCTTTTTGTCAAAACTAGAGTTCTTAGGGAAATTTTTTTAAAAAAATAAAAGAAAAAATATACATGAAAGGATTATATTCATAAAAAAAAGGAATTTAAATTCCCTTCCAGCATGTGACACTTTTTTAATAGCCGGCGCTTGATTTTTTAAACAAATACAAGCCCCTCAAATAATCATATCTTTTAAGTATGAATGAATATATAGATGTATTTATTATTGGACTTTTCTCATATGCAAACAATTTTTTTTAGGGGTGTAAATGCTAATTAAAGAAATATATATATATATATATATAATTAATTAATTAATTAATTAATTCGTCCAATTTGAAGGTTCCAGGAACCGTCTATACATTCACACACACAAACATTGTTTGTGCTAATATAAATAAAAAATTGAAATTTAGCACAAGAAGTGCTTTTAAGTACTAAGACAGAAAACGTAGATAAAAGATGGGGGTAGAAAGTAAAAAACGCCTTAACTTTTTCTCATTGGTCTTATTATCATCATCTTGCTTTAATTATGTATGAAAGAAGTCAGTAGACTATTTTATTTTATTTTTATGTTGCGTAGTTTTACTTAATTAATTTAATTTTTAAAAATATTTTGAATAAATTCATCTTTTCATCTGGTCTTATATAAAAAGTAAATTTTTCTATTTTTTTTTTATTTTTTTTACTTATTCAAACATTCTTTATGAAACATAATATCATAATGGATGATTGTCATAAAATGTGTGAACAATAGTATAAAAAGAGAAATTTAAACACAACACGAACACACGAAACGCTCAATCAACTATCTTAGTCAACTAGTGTATAACTTAATATACACGAAGATGTTCCCAAAATTCACCACTAGGTTTTGATTTTTCTATCTTTCACACGAATTTTTTTAGAAAAAAAATATTATGAGAGAGAGAGACATGGTTAAAACCTAAAAGAGAATTATGGTTAAAAAAAAAAAAAAAAAAAAAAAAAAAAAAGCATTAGTGGGAACAACTATTGGAGTGACAACGAAAAGTAAACGGCGCGTCGCACATAATAAAAACAGTGGGGTCCATGGGAAGTTTCTTTCGCAAAAGCAGACAATCATGTAACATCAACACCCTTATGCGTTTTCGATCTCTCATTGGTCCATTGGGTACCAAACGTACGACCCGATTTGTCCAATTATATTTAAACCGTACGGACACACCCTCCACTTTACATTTTTCCTTTGTTTTTCTCTCTTTTCTACGTTATAAATACCATTCACACGTCTTGTAAAATACTAAAAATAAAAAAATAAGAAAAAGTAGATAAAGTTACTATAGAGAACAGTAACTTGGGTCACCCTGCCCCTCTCTCTCTCTATCCATAAGAAACTTTTTCCAATTCAAGAATTTTCTCTCTCCTCTATCTTTTCCATTTACATCTGATTTTCTTTTTTTGGGGGGTTGTTGGTTGGTTAAGGTTTTTACTAAAACAAGAACAATATGTGGTTTTGTAAATTATAATAATGCCATTTGTTTCTTTTTTTGGTTGGCTTTGACGAAGTTAAGAAAAAGCAAAAAAATAATAACTGATCAAAATAGATGCAACATATTTGAACAAATTGCTAGAATTGGTTGTGGGTGTGTTTCGTCCCTCTTTCTCTGTGTGTGATATCTAATAGCCCCACACACAGCAGATGATTCAAATTCAATCAAACAACCTGCACGCCTATTATATCTCTCTATAACCCCTACCCTTTTATAGCTCTTACTCTCTTCTTTGCTCATCACTATTCACACACCTTACTGTCTTTTTTTTTTTTCTTTTCTTTTCTTTTTTCGGGTAATTAATTATTTACTTTTCTTTGTTTAATCTATTTCTCTTCTGGGTTTTTGTCTATTTTGTAAGATTTCTCTGTTTCAATACTTGTTCTTTAAATCTTTCTCTCTCTATATATATCAATAATATTTATATATATGTATGGAAAGTGTTTGTGATAAGTCTTCATTCATATGTATAGGTTTTGATTGCGATGGTGAGAGGGAAGACAGAGTTGAGGCGTATAGAGAATGCGACGAGCCGACAAGTGACCTTCTCAAAGAGGCGAAATGGGTTGCTAAAGAAGGCTTCTGAGCTTTCAGTTCTCTGCGATGCCGAAGTCGGTCTCATCGTCTTCTCTCCTAGAGGAAGGCTCTATGAATTCGCCAGTTCAAGGTTAGTTTGCTAGCTTCAATTAATGGTGGAATTATATTAGTATATATTGGAATTGTATTGTAATTGTTTTCTTTTTCCTAATTTAATTAATTTCATTCGCATATATATTGGATATGCCGTATATACACCTTAGGATTTTCTGAGTTTGCAATTTTTTGAATCAGATATTTCTCTTGCTTTATTTTGATCAGAAGATCTTACAGATACTTGAACAAGGGTCTTACAAATATCTGTGGGTCTCGTAAGGTCAACTTGCAGCTTAAGAAAACAAAAGAAGGGATATGCACAAGAAGAAAATAAAATATAATATGAAAATAAATAAATAAATAAAAGATATATATATATATTTTTATCATGCTCGTTGTATTTTAAAATTAATTTTCAATAATATTAGTTATTAGTTATTAGTATAAAAAGGGTCTTTTGCACTTTACTTCCTTTGAAATGAAGTAATACCCCTCAAGTAGGGGGAAGAATGAAGTAATTTGCCTTCAGTGAATTGGGGGTAAATAAGGAAATTAGTGTTGTATGTTTCCCCTAAAAAAAGTGCAACTTTTTCCCCCCCCCCAAAAAAAAAAAAAAAAAAAAAAAAAAAAAAAAAATGATATATTTTTCTATCATGCTCCTTGTATTTTAAAATTAATTTTCAATAATATTAGTATTCGATCTAAAAAGGGTCTCTTCCACTTTACTTATTTTGGTATTTAAATTCAAGAAATGTAGAGTCAGATTGTTTTTTGGTGTTGTAATATCACATTTACAAATATAGATATATTTATTCAAAATCTTATATCATCTCCAAAAGTTGTCCCGAGATGTTTTATCATGCTCCTTGACTATGAACTGAATCATAATTGATAATCATAATTGATCTGAACCAATCTGATCTATAAACATAATATAAATCGAAGAATCTTGAACCTTGAATCCATATGTAACACTTAGTTTATTCAATTATTAAAAGTACAATTTTGTACGAATCAACAAATAATTATATCATTAGTACTACTCAAAAAAATTAAACACCAAATTAACCTAGCATAATACATGTTCATGAAAAATACAAAGACAAGCAAACAATTAAAGGGAAGGAAAATGGTATCGAAACTAGCTAGAAAAGTAAAAGGACAAAAAAAAAATAAAAAAAAATGGTTGTACCCTTTGTTAAATAATTAAAATAAAAAAAAATTTGAGAGAAGTAGACGAAGGAAAAGGGGGAGAGAATAATTAAAAACTCGCAATGTGAGTGTTGGGTTCTGACGACTAACTGACAAGCTCTGAAACTTGAACCCCAGTGGCACCATACTCTATAGTCTACTAGACTCTTATTTGTGAACAGGGATAGCAATGGGGTGGGGCGAGGCGGGGATCTCATTCCCCATCCCCATCCCCGTTGAATTTTTCAATTCCCATTCCTGCCCCCATCCCAGTTTAAAATTTTACCACCACCCCCATACCCGACCCCGCCACCCGACCCCTTATCCCCCGCCCTGCCCTGTCCCCGTCCTCGGCCCCGATTAACATATATATTTTATAAAATAAAAAAACATTATTTTTCTTATTTTCATATATATACTAAATCAAATTTAGTAATAAATTATTATATGTAAGGGTATATTAATAATTTCACACTTAATCGGGGTGGGGCAGGGCGAGACGGGTTTACCCCGTTCCCGCCCCCGCCCCCGCTCCCGGCGGGTTTCAAAATTTACCCCATCCCCATCCCGTTTACATAAAAGGGTCTCCATCCCCGCTATAAACGGGGCGGGGATGGAGAATTTGCCATCCTTATTTGTGAATACGTGATTTAGTGACTTTTTTTATCTTGGTTTTAAATTTAGGTGGGGAGTTGTTAATATACTGGATGGAGCATCATAAAACCATGCAACCCAAATGAACTAATTGTAGATACTTATACGATCCCACCCCATGATATGATATTATCCATTTTAGGTCTAAGTTCGTATAATTTTGTTCTTGAGTTTTACTCCAAAATGTCTTATACTAGTTGGAGTCCTAGTTAGTAAACTCGTGTATGATACGTGAATTAAACGCGTACATATGAATTTTGGAAAAATATTTTCGTTTGTCGATCAGAATTGAAAGATGCAGTAAAATACGTCAATGATGAAGATCTTTCTTGGTTCAATGGTCTTATCTAAATTTAGAACAATTTTTTATTTTTATTTTGGGCAACATAGTTGATTATTTAAATTAGAAATTTTTCATTAATTTTGTGATGAAATTGTTCATGTCATGGACCTATTGTTATTGCTTCATTATATTTAGATATGGTTATTGCTTCTTTTTTTTTGCCGAATTTTTTATCTCCAATTTTTGGTGCATATAACGTATTATAAATAATTATACTCAAATGTTTCCATACCTGTATTTTTTTTGTACTGTATTTTACTAACTTTGATTGGAGGGTAGCCAGAATTTTTTTTCAGTGGGGGCAATTTTAAATGCAATAATATATATATATATTATTTGAACCAAAATAATATATGTAAAAATTAAACAGTACTAAATATTTCAAATATTATATTTTTTTCATATTCTGAAAGCGCGCAGTCGAGTTTTCAAAATGTTCATGGCATAATAATAGTAAATTTAGATGATAAAAAAATATATATCAAATTACCTATCTCCGCACTGCAATACTTGTTTGGATTTTGTGAATTTTTGAAATATTGAAGACTCGCCGAAAGAGAAATGTTGAAGATTGAAAATGTGATGGAAATTAACAACATATTTATTTGTGGTAAAGTCATAAGTGTGAAAGAATATCTTATATTTTTGGGGAAAGTGAGAAAGAATATAATATTTTGAGAAAGTGGAAAAAAATATCATATTTTTGAAAAGTTTTTTTTTTTTTTTAATGGTCATTTGGTTATATATATATAGATAGTATATATATGTGTGTAATGTCAACTTTTAGTGGGGACAATTATACAAATATAAAAATCTTTTCATATAAAATTAAAAATTTCCCTATGTGGCTAAGCCACTTAGAGTATACACATCCTAAATATATAGAATACCTTCTTTTCACACTCAGGCGATGTAGGATTGTGCACCTATAATTTATCAGTGCGCACCCGCCCACAAGGTGATCACAATTGTGATTATCTATGTGCGCGGGGGTGACGTGGGTGAGTGTGAATAGGAACTGGGCAAGTACACATTGCACAATCTCACACCTTCTAAGTAAGAAAAATGTAAAATACTTATATGGGGTGGTGTTATTTACTAATGGTATAACTGTACAAGATCTTTTGAAGTGAAACCTAATGGCAAAATTGTGCATGCTGGAGCCCAAAGCAGATGTGGGTCATTGCAATCTTTCTAAGAGTTGTAGCGAGATGACATGAGACAGTTGATACACTCTCCCAACACCAAATAAGAGATACAAAGGTAGTGAGTCCCACAGACCCACTAAAAGGGAAAAGTGCTGGGGTATCATCTCAAGGTTTTTTAACTTTATTTATTTTTTAGAAAAAAAAAAAAAAAAAAACTTTATTTATTTTTAATCTCCAAGTATTTACAGGAACACAGCCAATGGTTAAAAATACACCTTGCGATCATTTTAATTGAAATAATTTTGCGCATGTATAAAACAATTTCAGTATATATATATATATATATACATGCTAAAGACGAATACTTGGTTCAACAAATAATAAACCAAAGGGACCTTTGACCTGGTACAATCTCCCTGTCCTCCAAGAGGAGGGAAGAGGTAGAGGAGGGGAGAGGTTCGAGTTCGGGTGTGTGGACAAAAGAATGTGTGTTTGTTTTATTATTAAAAATTCAAACAAAATAAAAAATATATTAAAAAAATTTGTGTGCGTGTGTTAGGATCTATGTTACATAGATTCGGATACGTGTGTTGAGTATGAGTACGTATCCACGTGTTAAACATGTCAAATTTCTAAAGAGAAGGACAAATGGACACCCCTAAATATTCATTTTATTTAATTTTCTAAAATAAAGCAATGTTTTTATGTAAGCATTCAATATACACATTTAACTCATCTTAAAGTAATACTACTTCTATCCCAAAACAAAATGTTCATCTTTTCATTTTTGATTGTGCCAAAATAAATGTCTCATTTGAATTTTTTTTTTTTGTAACATTACTTATTTAACCTTCTTGCATTGAATTTATAAAAAGTAAATCATCACGTCCATGTGGACTCATTATGTATAATTTGATAATTCATTCAATAAAAAAATAATAAAACACCTGCTCTTAAAAAGTTATATTCCCCAAAAGGCACTTTTTTTTTGTGTGTGTGTGTGATGGAGGGAGTAATATAATAAAATTGAATGATGGTTGGATATGTTTTTTAAGTAAATATCCAACAAAAAATGTTTCACGCATATCTTATACGCATGTCTGAACAATATGCATTTGACACAAATACTTCAAAACGTTTGAAAGTACATGTAACATAGGTTAGGAGATACATAATATGTGATTTGATTGAATGCAGCAATCAAATCTTTACATTTCCTATAAATTCTTAAAGAGATATTATGTAGATTTTATACATGAAAGTAGAATTATTATTTTATTTTATTTTTGCAACTTTAAGGAATTCCAAAATAGCAAACATCCTAACTAAATAAAGAAAAATTAGCAAGTGCCTACATAATTTATTTGTAAAATATACACACTCACACTGTCACACACACTACTTTTAATCTGCTATATCAACTTGTGGGATATAGCTCTCATGACTAGAAAATTTATCCAGTGAGTAGAAAAACAAAAACCGACCAAAACGGGCAACAAGATGGCAAGGATTTGTTAACCAAGACTTATTATTGTAGGTTATTTCTTAGTTGTGCACCTTTTTAACAGTTTCTATTCAATCGATATTAGGTTTGGTAGTAATCTGTAATAAATGTCACGTGATTGTCTATCAATGATTTTCATAAAAATAAATTTGAGGATTGACAAATTTAAATTCATAAATTGGAAAACAATTTGTTCTTATAGCTCTAATTTGTGTAGTGTGAGAGCAACATCCTTTGTAACAAGTAACCACCACAATAAACAGTCTATTAGTAATTCTTGAGAAAACTTTAAAACAAAATCTCAAAGATTTCTACGCACCTAGCAAGTTTTATTTAAATTGCGGTTTTAATGATTTGTAGGCAGATAAAATTTTTGTATTTGACTGTGAGAGTAAACAACCAAGAAAGAAATTAATTGCATTTGTGTTTGTGTTTTTTTTTTTGGAAATTATTTAGCATGCAGGGGACGATAGAACACTATCAGAGCTTCAAAAAGGATGCTCAAACTGATGACACGTATAAGGAACAAAACATGCAGGTCAAGCCTCCCTAGTCCATGATCACACCAATTTTCTCTCTATATACAGTATCTCCCATCAAGGTTTATTTAAATTTTCGTTGTTAGATATACATGTATAGCTATTTATTTCACCATATTCATCAAATGGTGTCACCATATTATCTGTTTGGGCTGGTTCTGGTTCTATTGCTTTGAGATTGACTGTGTTTGGCAAGAGAACTCCAAAAGGCTGATTAATTGATTGTTATTAAAATCCGAAGACATTTCCTTGAATTTGTTCGATCTCAGTCACTTTAATGTAGAGAGATTTCTTATTTGAGATCATGTCTGCTTAAACACTTTAGATTCATTTCTGGTTCCCTTCGTTGAAGCTATAATCTGCAGTTCAGTTCCATAACATCAACCATCCAAGAGGTGGCATCCTTTTCTAGACCATAACCAACAATCTTATGTCATGTGATTTCCGCGCTTGTTTGATGTAACAAACCATTCTTGTGGGAGGAAAGGCCAGATTCAATATTCCAGCTTTTCGGGATATTGGTGCTCATAAATTTGTAAAGATTGAGTTTCTTGTACCATAATAGAGTAGAGAGATCAAATATGATTGTGATTCAATTGGTTGCCAAGGAGTTTTCAAATGTCTTTCTTATCCCCCACTCCCTTTTTTCTTTTCATCTCTCTGGTCTCACAATAGTGATTTGAAATGGCAGAATTTGCAGCATGAAGCGGAAAACATGGCGAAGAAGATTGAGCAGCTCGAATCTTCAAAACGGTTAGAAAAGGCTTTTTTTTTTTTTTTTTCTCCAAAAAAAAAAAAAAAATGGTACTTGAGATTTTAGGTCACATATGGCTAATGAGATCAATGCATTTCTGAGCATTGAAATTGGAATGGATCAGGAGACTCTTGGGAGAATGTCTAGGGTCATGCACCATTGAAGAACTGCAACAGATTGAGAAACAGTTGGAACGAAGCGTAGTCAACATCCGGGCAAGAAAGGTTCTCACAGTAAAAAGATAATATGCACTTGGTTCCAAAGAATCTGATGCAACTACCATTCTAATCTTTTGCTCTTTGTCTATATATCTTTCAGATGCACGTGTTCAAGGAAAAGATTGAGCAGTTAAAAGAGAAGGTAAGCTGACACATACATACAATAAAATCATATACTTTTTCTTCATTAGTTAAAGAATGCTTAACCACTTGCTAATCCTCTGTTTCTTTTTCTTACTGAAATTCAGGGGAAACTTCTAGCAGCTGAAAATGCAATTCTACGTGAGAAGGTAAACTCTTTACCATTGTTATTTCCAAATATTTGGAGGCTTATCACTGCTACATTTGGTTGCGACGACAAGAAATACTTGAACATAGGAACATTTTCAAATTAACAGACTATTATTTTGGAAATGTTGTGTTGGCTTGCAGATTTCCATTTCCTTCTTTTATTCCCTTTTTTCAAACAGCCAACAAATTTCAAAAATTTTCAATTTGCTGCATAAATCAAGGTGCATATTGAATTAAGGATCTTGTGAAGGTACATAGTCTGAAATTTTTGATCTCTATCCCGGATATCTACTAATCCTGGAGAAAATTATCCGAAACAAGTTACACAAACATATACAGTAATTAATTTGTGGCAATGCAGTACTGTAGTCCTACAAACTCAGGAACTACTCTGAGCAACATTCTTGGTAAACTTTCGTGTTGTCACTTGAGAAATTGCAGAAGATTGATTATATATATCTATATATTTTTCAGCATGGACCCCAACAGCCACAGGAAGGATTAAATAAAGAGAAACAAAGTTTGCCCTGCAGAGAAGGGAGTGATAAATCAGATTTGGATGTGGATGTGGAGACTGAGTTGTTCATTGGACCGCCGGATGCAAGAACAAAGCGTACTCCCCAAAAGTAATTGCGGACAGTCCAGGCCATGTCTTACATATCTTCAATTTAAATCCATAGTATGATGGTAGCTTTTTTCCAATTTCTGTTTTCATTTTCAATATATCGTATAACATTTTATTTATTGTAACAAGATCATCTAGAATGACTGAAAATTAGTACACGAAAAATTGTGTCCTGGTGTTTATTGCATATCATTATAATAGTAGTACTCTAATTCACACCTTCATTTTCCTGGTGTTTTGATTGTATCCTGGTTTGCATGCTGTTTTCATAGAGCTGTTATCATGCATATAGTGCACGGAGAATCAGCTAGCAAGTTACAAATTTTGTTTCAAAATTCGATCATCGGATTAATATTCAGTCTAAAAAAATAATTACAAATATCATAAGAAACAAGAACAGGGTACCCCTGCAGTTTGAATTTTTTTTTTTTAACCTGTATTGCTAATTTGATTCGACCAAAATTTACGTCGTAGAGAAAAGATTTTGAATGTTTCAGATAAAGGATGTGGCCAAGAATTGCTAAACTTTCTGGGAAATCACTTCTACTTTGAACCTCCCCTGCCTGGTATTGGTTTCAATGTCATTTGGATAAAGGAATAGATTTGAATCAAGCAATTTAAATTTAAATGAAAGGTTGGATTTTGAAAAACAAAGTGATGTTAGTGTAGAGGTATCAGATAAATATTGTATTACAATCATCATACAAATTGAATTCTTGCATACATGAATTTTAAATTACTGTTTAAGTAAATATCGAGTATGACATTAAAAATAAGAGTGTCAAATTTTATGACAAGGAGATTAGTGTTACTCATACCTAAACCAAATGACCTCAGTGTTATATTTAAAACTAGAGGGGATGTCATGTTATATAGGCAATTTACAAAGAAGGTAATGCTATGTTTGCCGAATCGGCACGTTGAATTTGGGATCGGAAGAAATTCAATACAAATTTTGAACTAAATTTTTGACAATTCTCAAATCCAATTCACGAATTTGATATTCCCAAACATAAGATAAGTATAATTATCCCTATTTCTTATATAATTGAACCTAAATTCATTGATTTCAAATCCGTCAATTCAAATGGAACCTAGGTTTCCATCAACAAAAAAGCAGGAAATTCCATTTTTCAATATGAGAATAACAGTGAAAGCGTGTTACGTGTATAGTCCAAAAGCCTTCCAGCAAAACTTCTATCAAGTAACAAGTAACAAGTAACAAATGGAAATAGTAGTTTAGGTCCTTTAGGTACATCATATTTTTTTTTGGGCTGGCTTTTTAGGATTCGGGCTCACCCTTTTGTTCTGGGCCTTTATAGCTTTTGTCTTGTGCCCTTTGGGGCCTTAAGGGGCTGCCCTGTTCAATCTCTCGTAGAATATAGTGTTTTTTATCCATCAATACATATACACCTTTAACAAATAAAAATAAAATTTTGGTCCAAATACTGTTGGTTATATAGATTTGTCATCGCCTACAGTTACCTATAAATATTACATTCCAAGCAATCATATATTGATTAGAAAAAACAAATTATCATTGCGATTTCCAACATTAATATTGCATAAACATATAAGCAATAGTTACGCAGTTTACTTCCTCTCCATGGAGAGGATGATACACAAGTACATATAGATTTCATATCCCATTATAATTAACTTCGAAAATCATAAACAGATCACATTTGTAATTTGCATATACGAGTTCAAAGAACCCAACCGTGCATGATGTTACTCTCACCAGCCATGCTCCTTGGAACAGACGATCCTTCCCCTGGAACGTAATGAGGGTACCTGTTACACGAAACAAATACTTAATTATAATCACCATTTACTTCCAAAACTTAAAACTGTTAAGAGATAGGAGGTAGTGTAACAATATATTTCAACACCTCTGTCACGTGTGGCCTTTTGTGAATAGTTCGAATAGAGGGATGGTGCACATAACTTTTTAAGTAGCTGGTGGTTAATTAACATGTTATTAGAACAACCAAAGTCTTGAATTTTCAATCTCGATTGTCACCATGACAATTAAATTGTTGCATGCATGTCGCTTATGATGAACAGTAGAGGGAGAAGGCCAATTTAAAAAATATAAATAATTAAGTTACATATTCTCTAACAGTTTAGCTGGCACACACATTCTAAAAGTTATAGCTGTTAGAAAATATATCAAACATTATATTCATATTGAACTCCATCAAATATAAAAGAGAGAGAGAGAGTATAACCCTATTTGTAAGACAGGTTCAGGTTCACAGTCCATGGGATTGGATTGAGAAGGGTGCACGAGAAAGCAGCTGGTCCCAGCTGATGCATTAGAATTCCATGAGCATGGGAGGGCTCTAAGACCTTGTCCTTCAGCTTCAAGCTAAATCATTAAACCGAAGCAAATAAGTCAGGTTTATTTTCACTAATTTAAGGCGCCAATAATGATGTATATTTCGCAGTGAGTACCGGAGTCAACTCAAGCGAAACCCTAGTCTTGAGTTGCTTGTTCATGTCTCCAAGATGACGCTCCTGCCAATATAATCGACACAAACATAGTAAGAGATATATGAGTTCTAATAACTAGAAGAATACTTTTTTTTTGGTCCAACAGAAGGGGTGGGCCGAGTCATACAAAGCCATTGGATTATGAAGTGAAACTCCCAACCATGAGCATGAGCTCCACTTCAATGCATCCAAGAGCCTTAAATCTTATGGGTCTTATGGGTCGCATTTTTGGTTGAACCCTTCGATTCAAATATCTTTATTCTAACCCGAAGAACATATTACAAGGAAAAGAAAAGGGCAATTTGATAATGAGAATTCCAATATGTATAGCCAAGTGCAATATGAAAATCACAACATTAAAAAGAAGTAAAATATAGGTTTTAGATGTACTACAACTTTTCAAGAATAGGCTTGTTTGCCGAATAAAATATCATTAGCTGGGGAAAAAAAAAAAAAAAACTTTCTACGTAAGATACAGACACCCATGTTCTAACTAGCACATGTACATAAAAAATGGTAGCTACTTCTTACAGCTTATAAATTAGCCGCAATCACAGATTTCATAAGGTCAAGAAAAAGCATCACTAATGAATATTTACATCAATGATTGTACACATTTAAGTTGCAAGATGCCCTTTTGCCATTTTGGTATTACATTGTGAATTCTCCTTCAATTTTCAAGAAATTCATGCATATAGATTAATTTGAAAATTTATTAGGTATCCGGAAATACCCAATAATTTCTGGTTAATTTGGATGGACCTTAACTCTTGGCATAAAAATGTATCCCCAGTTCTCCGCCTAATACCTGACCAACTTCATTTTGACTCATAGACCACAAGTTATCTTCTTTAGAGGACCTAGGCGATGAAACAATGACGATTTGTATGATTAATTTCATAGAGTTGGATGAATAATGTTTAATATCTTCTTATTGATTTCCAGTTTCTGAAACAAACAACCTTGTCAATTAAATCTCCAGAAAATTAAAACCAATATCTAATTCAGACTATACCACTGTAGCTATTTAAAGCAAAGCTATATGATTCACTTACCTTTCTTCGAAGCTCATCCATTTGCTCTATCATTAACAGTGTCTGCAGTTACAAAATAACAATAAAATAAAAAAGAAATCCATCATTTAAAAAATAAGGCTTAATTATATGACTAGCCAATCACATGAATATCATAATTAAATTTCATAATTTTCTAAGAAAACGAAGATGCTTTTGATCCTGTTGTTTTTCTAATATGCATTGGGAATTCATTTGGCAGAATTGAAGTACTTTTTGCTATATCTAGAATATACAGTTAATTAATTGAATATAGTTCCGTGCACATTTATGGAGTCTCAAGAAATGGAGCTAAAGCGTGAGCCCTAGGTATATTCAGATGGAGGCAGAAATATATATATATATATATATATATATATATGCTCCATGGCACAGTTGTAGGGCATTCCTTCAGTATAAGAATTTGTGAATTACATATAATTTACAATTTTCTTGGGTGTTATAAATTCAAATTTTATGTATCTAGAGTCAAAATCCCTAGTCTGAATGCCCTGATCAAACTCACATGAATAAAGATGTGAATGAGGATGTGGGAAAAATGTTTAGTCATCCCTCTTACTTAATCCAATGCTCATTCTCTTGCTTTCCCTTAAACTATTTTGTTTACTATGGTAGTTCTTTACTTGTTCTTAGTTAGTGTTGTGTTGAATCTCATATCTCCCATTGCAGATGTTGGTCTGCTTTGTTTGTTTACTGCTTTGGCAGCTTGTTTTGTCCAATTTGAACCTCCTTGTACATTCTTTCTTCTTCTAATACAAGCTTACCTTTTAACTAAAAAAAAAAGATCACTAGCAGAATTCACAATTAGTCTTATATGTTCAGTACACAACTTTACTGGTTCAATCTCTTTATTGTTCCCAAAAAATTGTCCAATTAAGCATATCAATGAAATTTTATTAATTTCCAGATTGCACAGCATTCGCGTTGAGCAGATAATTGGGTTATAGAAAGAAATGAGATTTTTTTTCTTTCAGTTTCCTTTTTTAGTAATATTCATAAAATTTCAAAGTTTGGATTTAAAGGTTCACACTAGAAAATTGATATTTGTTAAAACATTATATATTCAAGTTAAAAAACCAATGACGCTGTCATGCTGGTTTCAATGGAATGCAGAATTATGAGTTTGTTAGAACTCATTTAAGTACCTTCCTTTGCCTAGCTTGCGCGAGAGCTCCTTCAAGCTGTTTCTCAAGATTTTGCAACTCTTTCACACTCAGTGGTCCAAGATCTTCTCCAAGCAAATGCCTTCATGAATTACATACCATTTCAAGTGTCAGCACGTACCTTAATTGGCACTTGTATAATTGCCAGACAAGTCAACAAATTATTTTCTATCCAAATTCTACTTGTATGTTTTAGGCCAAAATTTGATGCTAGTAACAATTTTATAACTCTACTCAATAGCTGCAATAGTAGAATGCATTTGCGTATAAAAAATAAAATAAATAAATGAAGTATTAACTGTGAATTAGAAAAATAAAGGGGAGATGGGGTACGTCATCTTTATTCCACTTGATAAAACTCAAGTTACCTACTGAAGAAAAAAAGAATATGGGAGAAAAGAAAAGAGAAATGAAATAACCTTTGAGTGCGTTGAAGAGATTCATATTTTGCCTTTAATTTTGACACCTCTTGGCACCAGCTCTGCATTGTGACCGAAAGATTCAATAAATGAGTGAAACAGAAAGAAAGTGGTGATCTTCTCATTACAAAATAAGAACTTGTCCCATACGAGAATAAGAAAATGATCTGCTCAACATGAATAATTTTTGCCATATTTAGTGGAATGTTGTTTTAGAGCAAAACCTGAGTTTCACGTTCCACATTGTTGTCCTGAGGATTAAAACAGCAACGTTGATATCTCTCAAGGGTCTTGGTCATACTGCAGAGTGAGAACAATGGTAAATAGTTGCCTAAATATGAAGAATTTGTGTCTACAACCAACCACTCCAACTAATATTTTTCCTAATTATACTCTGGTGTAATATGGAAATAAAATTTACCTTTCAATATATATATATATATATATATATATATATATGAACTAATTAAGGGCCTTGTGGCCTAACTGTACTTCCTCGCCTTCCTTAGTAGAAGGTCAAGGGTTCAAGTTCCCGACAAAAATGGGTGTGTGAATATGTTTTTTGCCAATAAATATATATATACAGGGGTTTAGGGTTCAGGGTATATATATATGGAAGTAAAAACAATTGTCCTCCAAATATTTTACTAAAAATTATCTAATGCAATATAATTACTAGTGAGTTGGTTTACTCTCACTAAAGATGAGAATTTGCCACCATTACAACCTTTCCTTATTTTTTTAATTCCATTACAACCATGGCAATTGCTTACAGATGAGAATTTGCAGCCTTGAAGACAATTCAGAGAGTAGGAGAAGGAATGACATAAACATAAACATTCCAATTAATGATCCACTTTTTTAACTTCAATCATTCTAAAATAATAGAATCCAAAAGCATTTTTTCCATACACAAGCATCTGTCTATTACATTCTTAAAACAACTTGAAAATAAAAACTAGCTGACAGTAAGAGTATAATCAAGCATCAAAATTGGTTAAATAACAATTGACATATAAGTTTAAAACAAAGTACAATTTTAAGTTCATTCTTTGTATCCAAACCTTATTTACTCAAATAATATATGTTAATCTTTAAGTATGTTATGCATAATACATCCTTAAAATTCATTTACCTTACTGAAAAAAGAAAAAGAAAATTTTGAAGTATATTATGAAATGGATGCTCATTAGTAGTGCAAGTCAAGCCTTATCAAGGAAAAGACCATAGCTTGGGTGGTATCTAGAAGCATCCCAAATACCTTAAGGTAAAAGGTTGAAGTTTAAGGCTTTAAGCAACCTAATTAAGGTGAAGCAGTGTTTATTACTGATTATAAGTGGAATATCTTGATATAGTTATGCATGTGTTTACTCCCTCACCAGTCACCACACCAAAACCCCCAATAAAATAAAATAAAATAATAAGTAATATATATATACATATAACTAAAAAAAAAAAAAAAAAAAGCAAAAAAATAATGAAGGGAAAATAAAGAAAGAGAAAAAAAAAAAAAAAAAAAAAATCCAGAAACAGAAAGCCTGATTTTTCACTTCTTATCATCATCTCCTTTGGTCAAAGGTGCTAGCAAGAAACTTTTAATTCTCCTGTTACACTAATTTTCCACATAATCCAAAGCGTATAAGCCAGACACAAACTCGTGGGTTGTATGGATCCATATTTGCAAAAAATCGAGAATAAATTTTATGTGATGCACTAAATTAAAGAATAAGTTGTATTGATGCACAGTTTATGTGTGCACATTCTAGATCACACACTAGTTCTCATCTGTTTATATATAAGCAACTTCCAATTTCATACAAACTGAGCTACCTTTTGTACATCATACTACCTCAATCAAAAGCCAATTATATTAAAATTTCTAATTTTTACCTAGTATTTTAACTATCATATAAAAGAAGGAAATCCGATTTATATAAAATGATTTATCTTGTGTGTGTGTATATATATGTGTATGTATAAAATGATACAAATATGTTTCAGGATAGTAAAACCAATTAAGAACTACTAAAAATTGAAATGCCAAAAACAAAACATATGTTTGATTCACGCCAAAACCATGTGTGTGTGTGTATAGAGAGAGAGAGAGAGAGATTACGAATAAGAAACATAGAAATCTTGACTCTGAGTTTGAGCCTCAGATAGCTTAAAAAGCCCTAATTTTACAGTGAAAAGTATATCTGTACCAATCTATGCTATCATAACCTTCTTGGAAAATATTATTTTTGAAGGAGATGTTAGAGAGAGAGAGAGAGAGAGAGAAAGAGAAGGTACAAAACCAGTGAAGAACTCACAAGATCTAAGGACTAAAAGACATGAGACAAAATTTCGATCTCTTCAACAATACAAGTCCTTTGGACATTGAGGTGCTTCATATATATGATGACCAGTTTCAGTAGTAGTACACTATTGTTGCATATTTTTATAGAGAGAGAGAGTAGAGACAGAAAGAAGATAAAGAATAAAAGAGAAAACCCTAGATCTTAGCACGGTGGTCTAAGGGGTGAAGGTTTTTATGAAAAACCTCGTCTCACTCTCTTCTCTGCTCTTCATGATGAGATTTTGAGAATCACAAAACGTGTCGATCTTTCATTGGAAAATCACTGCACACAACATCAATGTAGAAATAGAAAATCGGAGATAAAAGCCATAAAAAGCTGTAGGAAGATCCCCAGAAGACCACAACCAGAAGAGAGAGAAAAAGTAGAGTGGGAAAGAGAGATATTTTCTAAGAGCCAGTGAGAGTAGCTAGAAAGAGAAAGAAAGAGTACAAAGCTCTAAAAAAAAAAAAAAAAAAAAAAAAAAACACACACTCTTACATATACAAAAGAGTGGAGTTGATCTGAGATGTAGAATTACGTCAGAGAGAAAGTGCTGAAGACATGTAAGAGATTCATATTTCCACACACTAAAATTTAAGACATATATATTTATATACACACATACATCACACAAAGCTCATAGAGCTTTATTTGATGTAGCAGAGAATCATATATATTTTCAAGCAACAAATTTCCAGAGAGAGATTATTGTGATATTATAGATATAAGTATATATATAGAGAGAGGTATGTGTATACCCAGAGCTACCGAACTCATAGAGCTTGCCGCGACTGGAGAAGATGATGAGAGCCACCTCAGCATCGCAGAGAACAGAAAGCTCATAAGCTTTCTTGAGCAGACCATTTCTGCGTTTAGAGAAAGTGACTTGACGATTGATCTTGTTCTCTATCCTCTTCAGTTCCACTCTCCCTCTCCCCATTCTTTCTCTCTCTAAAATTAACAATGAGAGATGAGTAGTGGTGTATATGTGTGTGTGTGTGTGTGTATTTATATATATATAAGCAACCAGTTATGTACATGTATGTATTTTCTATCACTAGAATTGGGTATGTATATACGAAAATGGAGGGGAGAATAAGAAGGGGTACTGCAAATTCCTTCTCCTTATAAATAGACGGCCAAGAGGGACTCAACTCTTACAACACAAGGGAAGGAAGGAAATCTAATACAGTAATTCTTCTTTTTCTTTACCGAGTATACTCTTTTGCAATTTTTGTTTTGGAAATTACTTTGTTTATTATATAACTACTTTCTCTCTCTAAAACTTTACTCTGCGTCTGCTTGTTCAGAATAGCCTCCAGTTTTGGGGGTAAAACTTCAGCCGGACGCGACTTAGTTGCAAGTGAAAAGCACGCTCCTCCGTGGATGCACTATTTGACTTTGACTGTCATGGTTATAAAATAAACGGATGGGTACAGTGCGCCACAATTAAATTAAATTTTGAATTCTAAACTATGGAACCTATAAATATCCTCATTTTGCACAGTTGGAGATTACAAGTAGGTTTTGGTTTGTACTTTGTAGGTGGACCATTAACATATATTATAATTAGATTATTTAACAAATTGATAAGATAATTAAGGATGCATTGTATGATTGATAGTTGTTATAAACTAATAAGTGATTTAAATTGTAGGATTATATTATATTATGTATACTTTATAATTTAACATATATATATAACATAATGGTTCGGTTCGGTCTAATTCAGTCTTAAAGGATCTCAAATTTTGATCAAATCGTATCTTTACGGTTTCATAAATTTAGAACCGTGATCAAACCAAATCAAACTATCCCGTCTAATTTGGATTTTCGGTTTGACGGGATTTTTTTGTGTACCCCTACACAAATGCATTGAAGACCCAGAATATTTGTGTAGAAAACAGAAACTGGGTTTGGTTGTCCCAACTAAACTGGTTTAGAACTTAATGTGGTCTTCTTCTAAAGTAATCATATCCTGGGTTCATGATTATCCTTTGATTCGATTGCTTCATATGGCAAAGCATGATATTATATTTTTATGCACACATTATATTAAAAAAGGCAAAGCGCACAAATTACGTAAATTATCTGTCCATTTTTCATTTGTTTAGTCTCTAGTGTAACCTTCACATTCTTTTCCTACTATATATATATATATATATATATATATATATATATATTGAGTATACTTACTTCCCCATACCATTAGCTACTAAAAGGGTTCATCCTAAACTCTCAGTGAACATAAGAAAAATGGGAATAACTAAACTCCCAATAACTAAAATTATATGTTCATAATAATATTAAGTTTTGTCTAACCGATTGATATTGTTTTTAGCCAAAAAAGACCACTTAAACTACTCCTAGTTCATAGACACATGCCATGCTACAACTTAATCTCAATACAAGGTCGGTGTGGTACAACAATACAAGAAATTTGGATTTTCACCTAGTCAAATGTAGTCCTTGATTGGGTATTGCGCCGAGTGTCAATCTGGAAAGTGTCCGGGGTCTCCACCGGTAGGTAGGATGGTCCGACATTAATGTTGACGTTACGAGTTCGAGTGAGACAAGTGAAAGAAAATGTTAGAGAGGTTCATCCCCACCAAATCTAAATAAAAGATGAAATGACATGAGTATTATGTGAATAACTATGCAGCATTTCCAGACAATTTAAGCTGACTAATTTAGTTCTTAAGACTATTCTCACAGTCATAAACCAAATTACATGTCTGTTAGGATAGAAATTTAATAAAAATACACGTGTTTACATAGAAAGTCAGACAATGCTTTTGTGAGTACTTAGTTTAACAAAAATATATATATATATAATTTTTTATATAATTTTTTTTAACTTTGACATGTCAATCACACTCTTTTTTTGACTTAGACATTAAATTATCTTTTATTTTAGAAAGTAGAGAATATATCAATAAATTACCATCGCGGTAGTAATAAGAAAGGATTAAATTATAATCAGAAAATATTCAATTTTAGTGGATCCTTAATTCCTTATCATGAATTCTAACATTAACACTAAGACATGCATTATGAGTTTCTAACCCGACAAATGACCAACTGACCAAGTTCTGAAATTCAACTCACATTATTCATGATGTGTTTTTTTTAAAGGTGTCAAGTGCAGAAAACATCTTTATCCCGTATTGCATTTTTTAGGTATAAAAAAATACACCTAAACTATAACATTTATGCAAATAAGTTCTACTCACACATTTATGACTAAAATACTCTTAGCTAGGTACTTAATAATATATATATAAATTTAAAATTTTGTAAAATGACTAAAATAGGTGGCTAAAAAAACCCACAACCGTTGATGGTGGCGTTGGTTTGGGTATGGTTCAGTAGGGGCGACAACCATTGTTAGTTGCGTCATAACTCTCCCTCTCTCTCTCTATCTAAACAACCAATGTGTGAAGCGGCTGGAGCCTCGTAACTCTCCCTCTTTCTTTCTCTAAACAACCGTGACTAGCCGACCAAGATGAGCAATTGCTCTCTCTAAACACCAAAACAGGTAACTCTCCCTTTCTCTCTCATGGACGCTGCAGAGATGGACGAGCCATTGTCGCCGGTCGGCCGTTTATTCTTTCAGCCGGAGCTGAACCAAATAATCACCTGCGTCACCAACCAAAAATACCCAATTGATGTGGACACCGTGAAGGCTGAGATTAGCAACTCCGTCATGATCACACGCCCCATATTCAACAACTTGGTGGCCAGAGACTCTCGCGGCATCGAACACTAGAGAAACCCAGGTTGATCTCAACCAATTCATCGTCCCCCATGAACCCGTTGTTGACAGAGTCAACGACGAGGACGCGATCAACGACTACCTCGCGAAGCTGGCGGTGTCGATGCTCAGCTTCGACAAGCCGTTGTGGGATATACACCTGTTGATGGCCCACAATCGTCTCCGCCGATGGTGGAAGGGCCACCACCCCCACTATCCTTAAACCCACAATCGGGCCACAGAATTCAACGAAGAGAAAGAATGGAGGTGTTGCCACTGCCGCCGCCACCAACAACTATTCCTACGCATGTAAAGTACAGCCACACTTGAGATATGGCAAAAGTACACTCAGATAAAATTTATCTATATTTTGGACAAAAATATTTCTTGAAGGTTCAAAAATAGATAAAAATACCCTTTTACATGAAAAATTAACTAAATTACTCTTTAACCGTTTAAAAAACTTTTTTAAGTTTACAATTTAATAAATTAGACTAATCTACCCTCATGAATAATTTATGCATAAAAATAAAAAAAGCTAAAAAAAAAAACTTTGTATTGTTAACTTCTTCTTCTTTTTCTTTTTCTTTTTTTTTATTATTATTATTTCCTTTATAAATGTCCCACCTTCTTAAAAATGTAGACGTCTAAAATGAATTTTTGATTCAATACATATATTTCAAATAAATTATATTTTGTTATTACTTCTTTTCTTTTTATTTTTTATTTTTAAATTAAGATGCTTAATTCTTTCATCTAAAAAAATTAATCCAATCTCTTTTTCTTAAAAATAAAAAATATGGTACCAGTATAACTTTATGTATCTTAAATTATATATAAAATATTATGCATTTCTCAATATAAAAGAAAATAGGTACCCGTATAACTTTGTTCATCTTAATTTTATGTATGCCTTTGTTTTTTTTTTTTTCCCCTTTGTTTTATTATTTTTTTTCCCTTTGTTTTATTATTATTATTTTTTCCCTTTTATGTTGGGAAATGCATAATATTTGATATATAATTTAAGATGCATAAAGTTATATTGGTATCATATTTTTTATTTTTAAGGAAAAAAGATTGGTTTAATTTTTTTAGATGAAATAATAAAGCATCTTAATTTAAAAATAAAAAAGAAAAAGAAAAAAGTATTAACAAAATATAATTTATTTGAAATATATTTATTGGATTAAAAAATTATTTTAGACATCTACATTTTTAAGAAGTTGGGACATTTATAAAGTAAAAAATCGGAAAAAAAAAAAAAAAAAAAAGAAATTTTTTTTTTTTTTTGTTACTTTTTTTTATGCATAAATTGTTCATGAGGGTAGATTGGTCTAATTAATTAAATTGTAAAGTTAAAAAAGTCTCCTAAGCAGTCAAATGGTAATTTGGTCAATTTCTCATATAAAGGGATCTCTTTATCCATTTTTGAACCTTCAGGGGGCGTCTTTGTCCAAAATACAAGTAAGTTTCATCTGAGTATCCTTTTGCCAAACCTCAGGGGTGTGGCTGTACTTTACCCATTCCTTCACTATCGAAACCCCTTCCTCCGCTGATCCCCTTCTCTCCAAGGGTCGCGACGCCTTCAATTCTCCAAACCATCACTCGATCGCTTTATCCACGAATTCCTGAACTGTGCTGTTAAACCATCACCTACGCCCTTGAATTTTCAAGTCACTAGCAGAAGCTTGCTCAAATCATGGCAACATTGGTCTTAGCTCAAGGATGATCTCCGCAACCTCTCCTCTAGCTGTAGTTCTCGTTGTCTCGGTTGACGGTAGCGTTCGTCTGGATATGGTAGCGGTGATTCATTGGTATGAAACAGATACTCTCCGGTAGTACAAACCACGTCTTTCTGGTAGGGGCATTTTTGGAATAGAAAAGGGTAAAATGGTCATTATATTAATTGAGAGTATTTTCGCACAAATTAAAAAGAATAGGAGTGTTTTTTGCACACCTTTTTAAGTAAAGGGTAAAACTGCTATGAAAGGTATACTCCAGCGGTATTTTTTGCACTTACCCATTTCTAAAGCCAAAAAGTATGTATCCTAGAAATATGTTTGGTGCAGTGATTTTTTTACCATTTTGTCCAACAAATTACGAGAATGATGTTTGATTATTTTTTTTCATATCTTCTCTCTTTCCTCCTCCAAAACCTCCATTAAAGCCTCATCATGCCCTTTTTT